GGGGATCTCCTTAAATGCCTCCTGATCAGCCACTGGTTCAGTAGTGACAGCCATAGCATAGGTCTAGGCTAGAGACCATAGTTGACAGGGTCCTTATCAGAATTCTGTAAGTCTTAGATCGAGTCTATAGGTTTGTCAGTCAGGGGTCAGAGTCTACGAGGTGAGGTTTGGAACCACTAACCCGGTTGTACACTTATCACCATGGTTGAGACCCGTAGTGGGACGGAGACTAGTTCCTACACCCCTGAGCAGCAAGCAAAGATGGCCGCCTTAGTGAAAAAGAACAAGGAGAGAAGAGAGCGTGAGAAGCAGGCGAAGCTAAAGGCTATCGCAGATGAGCAGGCGGCGAAGATGAAGAGGTTGGAGGAGGAGATGAAGAGAGTGCAACAAGAGGAGGAAAAAAAAAGAAAAGCTGCTAAAGCAGAAGCGGCAGCAGAAGAAGAGAAAGAGAGAATGAGAATTGAGAGTGGAGAAGGGAGCAATGGTGGCACGATGAAGTGGGAGACAGACACTGAGCTAGAGAAGAAGATCAACGAGTGGGTCGCTAATTTATCGTTGGGGGAAGACGAGGAGGCGGAGTCCTATGTGACTAGGGATGAGAAGGCTGCGCTGGCCGCTGAGCTAGCACCCATGACAAACCCAATGGAACGAAGAGAGAGGGAAGTCGAACAAAAGTTAGCATGGAAGTTGAGAATGAAGAGGGAGAAGAAGAGGAGGAGAGAGGAAGTGAATAAGATAACCGTGGCAGTGGCGAAGGTGAAGGAGTGTAGAGCGGAGGTGCTGGCCCAGCCAGATGATAAGGCCAAGTGGGACAAAGTACTAGGCTGTCTAGAGGTGTTGAGCAAGGCCTGGATGGAGGAGCGCCAGGCAAGCTGGAGCCAGGATGTAGCGTTGAGTGCCATGCGGTCCGGGCTTAGGGATTTTGCGCACGAAATCGTCACCCACATTGGGGGCGAAGTGAATTAGTTGAGAGACAATGTAGGGAAGTTTTGTGAGGGTGCCATTCAGGGTGCCAAAGCTGCAGCCGCTGTAGAAGGAGAGGGCAGACCCCGGAAGGACCCAATGAAACTTAAGTTCCCAGACGCGTACGGGGGAAAGAAGGACGATAACTTTGATAACTGGGAGACCAGTATCAATAGTTACATTTGCTTACAGCATATCCTAATAGAGGAGCAAGTCCTCGTGGCCTTCCAGGCCCTGAAGGACGAAGCGGCTAGCTTCGCCAGGTCTCTCGCGCGTTCAGCCGGTTGTGAAAACAACCTGGTTGCATATTCCAAAATCACTCCTCTTTCCCAATTCCTCAAGCTCCTCAAGGAGCAGTTCGCTGACCCAACGCGAGGCGTTAGAGCCTCTGATAAGCTCCAAACGATCCACTCCCGGCAGTGGAGGAGTGCTAAGGCACTCAAGGGTACTATGAACGACTTGGTAGCCGTCCCGGACCACGGGGTCACTGAGCCCCAACTGGTCCAGTTGTTTTATCGTGCCATTCCAGAGGCCCTACGCGAACATTTCTTTGACAAATCTCAGCAGGCCGGCATGACTTACGATATATTGAGTAGAGAAGTCGTTCTGTATGAGTCAAACTCTATGCCAGTTACCACTTTCTGGCATAAGGACCTGGAGAAGGGGAAGAAGTGGAAAAATCGTACCATCTCGGGCCAAGTCAAGGCCAAGGATCACTTGATCCTGACATTAAAGGAGGTTGGTACAAAAGAGGTCCCATATGATCAGATTGAGTGGGGCCTAGGGGAGGAGTACAGTTGTGTAGGGCAGGGGAGGTCTTACGCTGCTGTCGCGGCCGGAGGGAGGCCGCAAGGTAGAGGAGGAGGCTTGGGCCAAAGGGGCCAGGCCATGGGAGGCCGAGGACCGGACGCACAGGGGGTTGGCAAACAGGGAAACCGCCAAGCGGGAGGTAGGGGTCAAGGTCCCCATTAAATCGCCAGGGTAACCGGTCCCCACAACGAGGAGGTGGAAGGGCACCTCAAGGAGGATGGCACCCAGGCTTGCCGCAAGGCAGACCCTGGGAAGATCTGGGCTTGGACCAGCGCTTATGGCAGGAACGCAAGAACCTGGGTCAGTGCGTATTCTGTGGTGACCCGGCGCACGTAATTAAATTTTGTCCAAAGTATTGACAGGCCCGTTGGGCTGCTCAGCAGGCAAAAGGCAGCCGCCAGTAGGGGTCGCAACTGCCCCTACTTCCAGGCCATGTGGAGAAGTGAGCGCGCGCGAATAGGACACTCCCAACCTACATGAGCCTATGGCAGAGGTTGCAGGCCCGTGCCTAGGTAGCTGTCCAGAGACTGCTTGTGTTAGCGTCTCTTTAGGCACGTCCCTCACAGGTGNTGCTTGTGTTAGCGTCTCTTTAGGCACGTCCCTCACAGGTGTGGCTGAAGAGTTAAAGGAGAGAATGCCAGCCTGGGCTAAAATGAAAAGGGAGAGTAAGGGACAACTGATTTTGGTAGACGTAGAGGTGTTTAGGAGTAGAGTAGGGGCCCTTATAGACTCAGGGGCTACCCGTAGTTACATTAGCCGTAGGGCGCTGAAGAAGCTGAGGCTAGGACTAAAGGTCCAAAAGCTAGTAGACCCCATAATCAGTGTCCTCGTAGACAACTGCACGATGCGCGTTGAGGACTATGTAGAGGGAGTTCAGGCATATTTTCGCCTAGAGAAGGATGAGAAGGTGGAAAAATTCTCCATTCCCTGACTCTCCTCGTGCAGGATGATCTTCCTTTCGATACAGTGCTAGGAATGGATTGGGGAGAGGCAGCAGGGGCTACACTTCATTTGAGAGAGCATGAGTGTAGGCTCCCTAGTCCGTCAGGCGAGGTTAAGACTGCCCGCTTGTTCCATGTGTCTGGTGTAGATAACACCTTGGCACATTGCTGTCTAAGTGGTCCTGCGTTCGCGCGATTAGTAAAGAAGGAGCAGTTAGAAGACCAGGTCTTTGTAGTTTATGTTAGACCTGTCACCGAGGCATAGGAAAAGAATAGTTCCACAGATCCAACAATTGCCGAGCTGCTGGAAGAATTCAAAGACTTGACTGAGTCGCCGACAGGAGTAGTGTCGCGACCCATCCAGCATAGGATAGAGATAGAGCCTGGCAGCAGAACTCCTAAGGGTGCAGTCTACAGGATGTCCCCTAGAGAGTCAGAGGAGCTTCGCAAGCAGTTAGACAAACTCCTTGAGAAAGGTTGGATCAGGCCCAGTTCGTCTCCTTTTGGAGCACCCGTTTTGTTTGTCCCCAAGAAGGAAGGAGAGCTGAGAATGTGTATAGACTATAGGGGTTTGAATGCGATCACCGTGAAGAATGTTGAGCTGCTGCCCAGGATAGACGATCTTTTAGATCGGGTGCAGGGTTGTAAGTATTTCTCTAAGATAGACTTAAAGTCCGGATACCATCAGATAGAAGTTCATCCTGATGATCAGTACAAGACTGCATTCCGGACTAGGTATGGGCATTATGAGTTTATAGTGATGCCCTTTGGACTGACCAACGCGCCAGCTACTTTTCAGCGTTGCATGAATGACATGTTTAGACCGTGGTTAGATAAATTTGTGGTAGTCTACTTAGATGATATCCTAGTCTTTAGTAAGACCCTCCAGGAGCACCAGGGTCATCTGAGGCAGGTCTTGGAGAAGCTTAGAGAGGCTAACTTCAAGATCAATGCGAAGAAGTGCGAGTGGGCCAAGACGCAAGTCTTGTACTTGGGCCACGTGTTGGACGAAGATGGCATTTAGCCAGAGGACAGCAAGATAGCGGCGATTAGAGATTGGCCGACGCCCCGCACGTTGACAGAGTTGCGGTCGTTCCTAGGCCTAGCTAACTACTACAGGAAGTTCGTGAGGAACTTCTCCACCTTCGCCGCTCCCTTGCGCAGGTTGTTGAAGAAAGAGACAATCTGGCAATGGGATAAAGAATGTACGTCTGCGCTAAAAAAGTTAAAGCGCGCGTTAATAGAATATCCTATCCTCAAAGTAGCGGATATGTCCTTGCCATTTGTCGTCACCACGGACGCAAGTCAGTATGGGATAGGCGCCGTGTTGCAGCAAGACGACGACAATGGCTATAGACCCGTAGAGTTCATGTCAGCGAGGATGCCCGGTGAGAAGGTCGCTACCTCTACGTACGAGAGAGAACTCTACGCTCTCAAGCAGGCTTTAGACCATTGGAAGCACTATCTGCTTGGGAGGCACTTCAAAGTGCATTCTGACCATGAGACACTTCGTTGGCTAAAGACCCAGGCCAAGATGACACCTAAGTTGACTAGGTGGGCAGCAAAGATAGACCAATTCTACTTTGAGCTCAAGCCAGTGAAGGGCAAGTACAATGTAGTGGCGGATGCTCTAAGTAGGGGATCAGACTACTTTGGAGACGTAGTACATTATCTCGATATAGGGAGAGACCTGCAGGAGAAAGTGAAACAAGCGTATACGCAGGACCCTATCTATAGCGACCTCCTAAAGAGAGTTAGAGAGACCCCAGAGACCGAACCAGATTACCGCACTACAGACGGGTTGCTGTTTGAGAAGACTAATGTGTTTGCCGCCTGTGCGTTCCCAACAACGAAGAGATTCGTAGTCTGATTCTAGGGGAATGTCACCACGATACTGAGGGACACTTCGGTTGGCAAAAGATGTTAGCCAATCTGATGCGTGCGTACATATGGCCAGGGATGAAGAACGGCTGCATAGAGTATGTCCGCAGTTGTAAAGTGTGCCAGAGGAATAAATCTACTACACGCGCGCCCCTAGGTCTTCTGAGACCCTTGCCTATTCCGGATCAACCGGGAGACTCAGTATCCATAGACTTCATGGATACGCAAGTCAAGAGCAGACGTTGTAAGAGCCAAGTCATGGTCATAGTCGTCCGTTTTAGTAAGTTTGCAGTCTTTGTTCCCTTGCCTGCAGAGGCACGTACAAATTTAGTAATACAGAAGTTCTTTGACTTTTAGGTTAATGAGAATGGAATCCCATTGTCAATAGTTAGTGATAGGGACAGTTGTTTCACCAGCCAGAACTGGCAAGAAGTAACGAGAGTCTACGGATCTAAGCTGTTAATGTCGTCCGACCGTCATCCAGAGACTAACGGTCAGACAAAACAGATGAACAAGATCTTACAGCAAGTTCTGCGCATGTACATTAGACAATATCAGATTAACTAAGATGAGATGTTGCCTAAGGTAGCTAGTGCATACAACAACAGCGTGCATCTATCCACCTGCCGCACCCCCAATGAGTTGCACAAGTCCTTTAGACCGCGCAGACCATTCGAAGGACTGAACCGGGATCAGATTCAGAGATTACCACCCGGTACCAGGGAGTTTGCGATACAACACGAAAAAGAATTCGCCACTGTTGTTGAGAACCTTCGGAAGGCCCAGCACAGAATGATAGAGCAGGCTAACAAGCACCGTCGCCCATCACAGTTTCAAGTAGGCAACTTAGTCTGGGTCAAGGCAAAAGAGATTGCACCGGAAGAAAACACCTCGCAGAAATTACTACCTTCATATAGAGGACCGTGACCGGTTCTAGAAGTCAAGGGCGGAGAGGATGGACCGTCCTACAGCATTGAGATTTCAGCACACCTCCACACATACCCTATGTTCCATGCTTCAAAGCTGCTGCCGTGTGTCACTAGTCAACAGTTCCCTTCCAGGAGATCCATGATCCCACCGGATATGGATGGGAGCTATGACATAGAGGGCATCGTAGAAGAGGATGTGTTTAGGACAGAAGGTAGAGGTCGTCCCCATAAATAATATAAAGTCCGGTTTGCCTATCAGGAACCCGTAGACGACCGCTGGTTCACAAAAGCAGAACTTCTAGAGACTGCTCCCGACATAGTCAGAGTCTATGAGCGTGACAAGAAAGGTAAAGGTCCCACCTTGGACTAAAATTTTCTCGGAGGACCTCAAATTTAGGACGGCGGGAGTGAAATGGTTTTCACCTTTTAGCAGTAGCGGATGCAGTACCCAGGGTTCGATCCCTAGACCTCACCCTACCCATGTACAATATCTGTGTAGACCCCAAGAA